AATAGCAACAGATGGAGCTAGGGTAGAAGAAAGAGGTCTAGCTCTGCCTACTGCCTCCCACTTGCATTAGTGATTTTCCCAGAGCCACCCTGTGAAGATGCCAGTGAGATAGAGAGGGGAGGGACATACAGGACCATCTGCTCTAGATGGTGGAATCTGTGAGCAAGCAACCTCTAACCCCATGTGGTGCAGAGACTCAGCAAGTGTCCACCCCAGGCAAAGAGGTAAAATAAACATGACTGAGTTCAGGCACCTGGCAGGACAAAAAGATGTAGATTTGGGGAGAAAGGGGCCTTAGTTGCCACATGCATCCCAGATTTCTCTAGTAAGAACTGGATCCTTCCCAATGGGACCAACTTGGTAAGTAGCACCAAAATGTGAAAGTTCAACATGATCAGTCATCACCTGATAATATGAAAGAGCAATGTCAGTGTGCTATTGAGCACAATCTGGGAAAGGGAGTGATAATAAGCTGGGTTGTAGAGGCCTGGCCACCTGGCCCTATTTCATGTGCTGACCCACTTAGCACACATGAGCCTGGTGGCCCAAATTGAAAATTTGAGGGCTCTTTGGCCCTGACATTTGACTTCAGTCTGTCAACCAAAATTCATCTTGCTTTTAATTTGAGAGCTAGTGTTTCTTTCTCAGCCACAGTCTTCCAATTCCCATCTCTCTCTATAGCATCTCGCCCTTGCACTAGTCTCATTTTATATATCTGGACTGAGAAAGGACTGGATTTCACACCTAATTAAAAGAGATTGTATTGCCTGCTGTTTCCTTTTCTTATTCCTTTTCCCTTGTGCACAGGCAGCTTTTTTATTATCATGCTTAGTCCTATCCCTGGACACCCGCCATTTCAGGGACAGGCAGGAGCTGGGTTCCTACAACATAGACAGCCAAGCGCTCCATCAGCTATTTCACCACAAGCAGAATCCCCCTCTGGTGCTCACTCCTGCATCAGCCTCATCCATACTGTGCTCACCCACAGAACACAATCACTTAGAGTACACGATCACATTCAGGAATAGAATTCCTTGAGTGTTCCAGTGAATGCCATCACAGACTGACTATATATTTTTTACTCTAGTGGAAAGAAGATGGGTTACTATTTTAAAACATGCTATTTTTGTCAGGTTTTTTTTTTCCATTTTACCCCATCAGTTCTATGTTCACACCACCATGGGGGATTTTTGGAGGGAAGGGGGGAGGAAGTGTATCATGGCATCCCCAAATGCACAAAATCTTTGTAAAGTCGTATGGTTTTGTAGAGTCGAAGGTTTTTTTTTTTTTTTTTTTTGAATAGCCCAAAGGCCTATTCACTGCCAATCTAAGAAAGAATGGAGTTAGCATTTTCACACCATTCCTTCCTATACAGTCTCTGAATAACCATCTAATCAAGATTTGTTTTCAATGGGGAACAAATCTCCTACAGTAGAGTATTTCAGATTTATTCCGTTGGAATCTATACATTAATGCCCACTGCATGAAAAGGACCTGTTTCACAAAAGCCTGGACATTGCCTTGCCGTGGCAGAAACTCTTTCCCACTGTATTAGTGTTGAAAATGAAAGAAAGCCTGGGAAAGGACTTGCTTCAGCATTGTGTGCTGGAGGGCCGAGGCATGCTTGAATGGACCTGCAGGGTCCCCCGTCACATCTGTACACATATCAGCAAAAACCGATTCAGCCTTTCACAGCTGCTCACTGTGGTGCAGGACCAGTGCACTGAGACCTTTAAAAATTGTGTATGCAAAAGTCCAACTAGGTTTGTCAGGTCAGGTTGTATATGTGCACAGGTTCAAGTTTGTCTCTGTGGTTTTTAATGAAGTTGGCAACAGCATTACTGCAAAAATCATAACTCAGATTATTTAGCAGACAATTTTTTATTATTGCTTATTTTTATTTAGACTTGAGTGGATCAGCTCAACAAGCATTTTGAACTTTTTTTCATGAGTTTGTGTGTGTTTGTGTGTGTGTGCATATATCTATGAATGTGTGTGATATAATGACAGCTCTTGTTGGTGACCATATCCATCTCTACAGCAAGCTCCATCATCACTTTCTATGTTGTGAGAATTAGATGGCCCTCAGTCTTTGGGTAATCCAGATTTCATTTGTCAGTGATCCAGTATCATGTGATAAAAAGAGCATCAAGGGGCATGGGATCTAATCCCACCTCAGCCACTTACTAGCTCTGGAAAACATTGGGTTAGTCATTTAGATACTTTGAAACCCTCAACTTCCTTTTACATCAAATAGTAATAATAGGACCTGTCCTGAAAATATATAGGATTGTTATAAGGAGTAAATGAGTCTATACCTCTGAAAGAGTTTGTACACTGTAAAATGCTACATGGTTATTAATTATTATGATAATTGTGATTGAGCTTCTTCCCAGAATTATCAGAAAGAAGATATGACAACTCAAGTGATATAGCTGTGACTGCTGCTATGAGCAATTGTGTGTTTAAAGAGTGTTTTTATCCGTGTGGAGAAAAATGTTTAATAAATCCATCCTACTCAGAGACAGTGATTTTATCAGAGACTTAGCCAATTTTAGTGCTTACCATTTTACTTAAATGAAAGAGACCTTGGTGATAGTAAAATTGTATATAGAAACTTCTACATTTTAGTGCCAGAACTCTCTTTTATCTCTTGCATTGTTCCATTTATAAGTTTTTTAAAATATGCTTTATTAGATGACTGAGGCTATGAGACAGCACACTAATTTATGGATAGGTACAGAAGTAGCTGGAGGGTACACTGAACAGACCTTATTACACACCTTTACAGCAGACCCATGGACACCTAAGAACCCCAGGCATCATTCAGGGACAAAGTATGCAATGCAGTGAAGCAGAAAAGCATGCAATACAGTGAAGCAGATAAGAGTGTGAACTCTAGACCCAGACTGCTAGGTTCAAATGCCAGCTCAACCACCAACTACCTGTGTGGCCTTGAGTGGTTTCCTAGTTCCTCTGGCCTCAGTTTCCTCATCTGAAATATGGGGATAATAATACTACTGACATCATAGGATTGTTGTGAGGACTCAATGAAATAATGTACATAAAGTAGTTAAAACTTGAACACTCTTAAAAAAATCGCTCTTATTATTATCACAGTGCACAAGCATGAGGGACTCAGTAAGACATTAGAATATGATCTGCTGACTGATTTCCTAAATTTTCCTTTCTAGGTTTTTGGGGCCTTCCTCTGGTGCCGTGTTTTGTATTAACAATTATAGGGGATTCACCTTGATTCCTTAACCTGGCAAGGACAATTTGTTTTATATAAAAGGAAAAAGAGAAACAGTCATCTAATGAAATATTTTAGACACATTAACAGACCTAATAGAAATTGGAAAGAAAAGGAATTCTCTTATGAAAAAATTTGCACAAATCATATCACTCAAAGAGAACATAGAGCCTGTAGGCAGCATTTATTAAGTTTAGTGGATTTCTGTGAGGCTGACTAAATGTAAAGTTGGGAGCAAAGGAAATGAATGAGTATATAAGGATGCAGTCACACCAGCTGAACTCAGAATGAGGAGATGGATTGTACCACAGTAGAAAAGCTAGTTGAGCTCAGACTTCTCTGAGCAGGTCCTCTTTCCTAAGGCAGAGGAGAAAGAACCTGAGGAGGTGGTCATTCCTCTGTGTGCAGGCCGTTACCTCTGGGTTACTTATAACAAGACACAGGGATCTGGGTCACACCAACAGTCTATACCTGGGTCACCTAGATTTGAAAGCCTACTTACTTGGCCTCCCTCAAGCTCATCTTCAGTTGTGAAGGCAAGAATGGGGAATGACTGAAGAATGATGTGGGAAGAGGGATTCTTTAGAGAGCTAAAGTAAAAAAAAAAAGGAAAGCCCTAAGTCTAGTGTTATAGACACTTGTTTTCCTTCTCAATCTGGGATCTAGGTGTTACCAACCTATCACTTGTCTGCACAGCCTAGGATATAAGGGTGACAATAGGTCAGGCTGTCCACATGTTCCACGTAGCTGAGTGCTGCCTTCCTCCTGGCAACTGTCTGATATATCCCTCTTGTAAGCGCAGAGAGCACCCAATTCCTGAGATAATTGTACATCCCACTCCAGGGTAACCCTACTGTCCTGACCTACTTACTAACAGTCCTCCTAAGAGCCCAGTTTGAATGACAAATATGGTCACCTAGTGTATTCCAGTCTCCCAGATCAACACTGCCATCTCTGACCTTTCTAACATTTCTTCTTCATTAAGCCTCAGAAAATTCAGAAGACCACCATATAACATACAGCCACCCTAGAAAGTACTCAAACAGGTCTCACCAAAGAGGATAAGAAAAATGCACAGATACAGACAGTGGGCAAGTGCTCCTTTAGCAAGAAGATTGCATTCTAGAACCTGTCCCTCCACTGGAAAACATGGTGGTAGCTGTTTTATGTCTATCTTAGTCTAAGCTGACTTTTCCAAGAATTTTTGCATATGTGGTGTGGATTTGCAGAATGTGCCATGTTAATTAACAGGAAGGGAATTAAATATTGTGGTCATGAATAAAATAAGGAATTTTGATAAATTGAGAAAAATACAAGCTTTCCCAAAGGACCTGGGCTTAGGCCTGTCTAAAGTGGAGGCAGAGTTTCCTGAGAACAAGTCTTCCTTTTCCTTTTGGTTCTTATTTGCTGAAGCTGTAGGAAAAGCAGGCAATGACCTATCTGTTTTTTAGACTGCTGTACTTCAACTGACAACCCTGGCTGAAGGTCTAGGGGATCAATTATGGATTCAGTACCCCCAAATAGCTGGGGCCCTGTTGCAACAAAATCCAAGGCCTTGTTACTATAGGACATCATACCCACAGGTCAACCTGATGCAAAGCCTATCCATCTTGGCACAGAGCCTGCTTGTGTCTGCACAGGGGTGCTGCTAGGAGCCATGAGCATTGCCCACCTGAGACCCAAATGTTAGGGATGCAGCCAGCTGGCTCTGACCCACGCCCTGTGTTTTGTCTGTCTCAACGTGCAGGTGACATCAGTTGCAAGGGGATGACCGAGCGCATTCACAGCATCAACCTTCACAACTTCAGCAATTCCGTGCTCGAGACCCTCAACGAGCAGCGCAACCGTGGCCACTTCTGTGACGTGACGGTGCGCATCCACGGGAGCATGCTGCGCGCACACCGCTGCGTGCTGGCCGCCGGCAGCCCCTTCTTCCAGGACAAGCTGCTGCTGGGCTACAGCGACATCGAGATCCCATCGGTGGTGTCGGTGCAGTCGGTGCAAAAGCTCATTGACTTCATGTACAGCGGCGTGCTGCGCGTCTCGCAGTCGGAAGCCCTGCAGATCCTCACGGCCGCCAGCATCCTGCAGATCAAAACCGTCATCGATGAGTGCACGCGCATCGTGTCGCAGAACGTGGGTGATGTGTTCCCGGGGATCCAGGACTCAGGCCAGGACACGCCACGGGGCACTCCCGAGTCGGGCACCTCGGGCCAGAGCAGCGACACCGAGTCAGGCTACCTGCAGAGCCACCCGCAGCACAGCGTGGACAGGATCTACTCGGCGCTGTACGCCTGCTCCATGCAGAACGGCAGCGGCGAGCGCTCCTTCTACAGCGGCGCAGTAGTCAGCCACCACGAGACGGCACTTGGCCTGCCCCGCGACCACCACATAGAAGACCCCAGCTGGATCACCCGCATCCACGAGCGCTCGCAGCAGATGGAGCGCTACCTGTCCACCACTCCCGAGACCACGCACTGCCGCAAGCAGCCCCGGCCCGTGCGCATCCAGACCCTGGTGGGCAACATCCATATCAAGCAGGAGATGGAGGACGACTACGACTACTACGGGCAGCAAAGGGTGCAGATCCTGGAGCGCAATGAGTCCGAGGAGTGCACGGAAGACACCGACCAGGCCGAGGGCACCGAGAGTGAGCCCAAGGGCGAAAGCTTCGACTCGGGCGTCAGCTCCTCCATAGGCACCGAGCCCGACTCCGTGGAGCAGCAGTTTGGGCCCGGGGCGGCACGGGACAGCCAGGCCGAACCCGCCCAACCTGAGCAGGCCGCGGAAGCCCCAGCCGAGGGCGCCCCGCAGCCGCACCAGCTAGAAACCGGTGCCTCCTCCCCCGAAAGAAGCAACGAGGTGGAGATGGACAACACGGTGATCACTGTCAGCAACAGCTCCGATAAAAGTGTCCTGCAGCAGCCTTCGGTCAACACGTCCATCGGGCAGCCATTGCCAAGTACCCAGCTCTACTTACGCCAGACCGAAACCCTCACCAGCAACTTGAGGATGCCTCTGACCTTAACCAGCAACACGCAGGTCATTGGCACAGCCGGTAACACCTACCTGCCGGCCCTCTTCACTACCCAGCCGGCGGGCAGCGGCCCCAAGCCTTTCCTCTTCAGCCTGCCGCAGCCCCTGGCAGGCCAGCAGACCCAGTTTGTGACAGTGTCCCAGCCCGGCTTGTCGACCTTTACTGCACAGCTGCCAGCGCCACAGCCCCTGGCCCCATCCGCAGGCCACAGCACAGCCAGTGGGCAGGGCGAAAAAAAGCCTTATGAGTGCACTCTCTGCAACAAGACTTTCACCGCCAAACAGAACTACGTCAAGCACATGTTCGTACACACAGGTGAGTGCGGCCCGCTGGAAGACTGGCAGCAGGTGGGAGAGGCCTAGGGGGCTGGAGGAAGGGAGGGGTGGAAGGGAAAGTAGGAATCATCTTTCAGATTTTACAGAAAGACATATTGTAAACCATCTTCTAGAAGCCCCAACTATGCCCCCACCCCACGAACCAAGCATCCTATCACCAAAAGACAAAATCACAGAAACTCTTTGTGGGAAAGGGCTAAATGAGAAAACCTGATACAGAATTTGCAGGCACAACATCCCTTAAATACATTGAACTTTGAAACATATTTTTGATCCTAGGTGTTTAAAACTAGAAAAGTCCTTGGAGATCATACACTCCAGTCACCTCACTTTACAGACCCAAGTCATATAAGCCAAACAGGAATAAGGGTTTCAGTCTATAGTAAGTTTCATTTGAACCAACAGCTTGAAGAGGCCACAACAAGGCTAATGCCAGTGAAGGCTACACTTACAGTCCCTGAAATGAAGAGGGGTGATAAGCTCACTGTTTTCTAGTGCTAGTTCTCTATTTTCCACATCTAGAGACCACAGTCAGTTCTGGGTTCTCCCATTTAAAAGGACAGTAGACTCTTTGGGGCACACTGAGAGGAGTATGATTAAGATGGAAAGGGTTGTGAAGCCATGGCATATGAGTCATGTTTGAAGGTGCTAGAGGTGTTTGGCAGCGCGTAGGTTTGACTTGAAAGTGCCTACTGAGCTTTGTCAGCTTGGCAAAATTACTTAGCATTTCTATACATCAGTTTCCTTGTCTATATGATGGGGATAATAGTGATAGTAGTGCTGTTTTGAGGATTAAATGAATTAATACATATGAAGTTCCTAAAGAAATCTCCAGCACATAATAAGCACTCTATAAATGTTAGCTATTGTTCACACTTTTAGCATTATTTAAATGATTTGAGGGAAGATACATTAAGCTTGTTCCATTTGTGTTCGCATATATAGAAATGGACCAATGATTAGAAGCTATAAAGATATTTAATTAAATAAAAGAGGAAGTTTAAGCAGAAATGCTTTAAAGATAGGTAGACAACCTCCAAAGGGAGCATGAGTTCCTATAATTAGAGGTGTTCAAGGAGAGAATGGATGATCATTTCATAGTGATTTGTTATAGAGGGGATTCAGTTATTCATCAGGTGAGTAGTTGGGCAAGATAGTGCTTCATTCCTGGAGCGAATGATTCTAGAGCAAAGATCTCCTGACCTCCCAGCCAGTGAGTGCCCTTTCCTAGTTCTACAATGGACCAGACAGAAGTGAGAACTCCATGGATGCTCCTCCATATAAGGGACTATATATGTGATATGATTTCACATGGATTCTCTTATACTAAAAGTAACTAACTCAGTGATGATCACCATATTTGAAATTCCTATTATGGGAATCATAATTCCTACTATGAGGGATTATATTATTCCTATTATGAGGAATTATCGATGCGATGGACATGAATTTGAGAAGGCTCCGGGAGTTGGTAAGGGACAAGGAAGCCTGGCGTGCTGCAGTCCATGGGGTCGGACACAACTGAGCGACTGAACTGAACTGAACTAAATTATGAGAGTCATTCATCTGCTAACCTTCTAGTTCTAGGATATCTCTGTTAAATGACAAATAAATTGTCAGGGGAAAGTTACATACCTGAATTACAATACATGAAAATAAGTTAGTTCCTCAAAGCAACCTTGTTTCTCAGGTCAGCCAGCAGGACTAGCTAGGGGATAGAACATAAAGCAGATCAATTTAAATTGGGGAATAGAAGGGAAGGACTGCAACAGACATACCAACATGGAAGTGAACAATTGAAACAGAACATTACTTAAGATGAAATTTTCCTTCTGTGCAGTTCAACTTAAATCAGAACAATATGTAAATCTATGTATGTGCCCTTGTGTGAATCAGTTCTTAAAGATGACAGTTTTCATACCTCTAAAAATCAGAGTGACTACTACTGAATTTAGGAAAAGAATCAGGTAGTGGTAAGTCACTGTATTTACTTAGAGTACATGTGAATATCTAATAACCTGAGGTTAATCGAGGACATTTTCCATGTGGTATGGTATCATCATTATTTAGTAAATTAATCAAATAGTAATATTTTTATTTATTTGGCAATTTATGATTTACAGGGTATTCTCCCATAGTTATGTCCTTTCCTCCTCTGAGTACCTACCTTGTAAATCCATCAAATTAAGGATTAAGGGGGGAAAAGAGACCATTTGTGGAAATGTATTCTTAACCAAAGTTGACGTCTCTGTTCTTGGATCCATGAATGTTTCTACTCTCCCCATCTTTGCATTTCTTCCAGTAGACCCAGCAGATATAAAGTTTACATACTCTATTAGATCACATGTCAAAATAAGGCTTTAAATCTGGAGCATAACGTTTTTTGGTGTACTACAGAAAATTGTCTCTTTGGTGTATGAACATATTTATTCAATTTTACCAAAGGATTCTGTGGTTAACCCAAATAACTAGATTTGCCCATAAGAAAACCAGCAATGGATTTGCAAATTTAGACATCATAGATACAAAGGCTACAAGTAAAGTCATTTTATAAATCTGAGTTATGCTCAAAGGCATAACTTCAGATCTCTGGTAAGCTATGAAGTTCCTCATAATTTATAAAGGTCTTTGTAATGGTGTGTATAACCTGACTACATCCAGGAACAATAAATAATGTACATCTATCACTTGCGTACCTTATCTAAAAGAATCAACACTTCCATTTCACCCCCAAATCATTCGGCAGTGGCAGTTTGGAATGGTCAACTCTCTATCAATACTTGTCTAAGTGAAGAAGTCTATAATCTAACAAAGTTTAGGAACAATTGGTCTCGGTTTTCAAAAGGCAAGACAGCCTGAACATATGGAAGTAATTCAGCACCTGGATTCACTTTGGCTGACATTTCAACACAAAGTTCTCTCCAGTGTCTTGAGAAAACATCAAAAAAGTGGAGCCTCACAACTTTACAGGAGCCCAGTGGAAATGATAAAAATCCACAGCAAAGAGTCCAAATGTTAGTCTAAAATAAGATTCTAGAAAGTCCTGGGTATACTGGAAGAGTAGAGATGGATTCTGCTTCCTACCTTTAGTCTAACCAAAAAGAATCTTACTAGGAAAGAGTAGCTTTACAGAGTTAAAAGGAAAAAAACTTAGGTTCTCAGCATCACAGCCACTATGCATGGTAACCAGCTTTGCAGTTTAGCAACTGCAACTTTTAATGAATATGATACTTCCTTTCAAGGATTGGGGGCTTCTCTGGTGGTTCAGTTGGTAAAGAATCCGCCTGCAGTGCAGGAGACCTGGGTTCGATCCCTGGGTTGGGAAGATCCACTGGAGAAGGGAATAGCTACCCACTCCAGTATTATGGCCTGGAGAATTCCATAGACTGTATAGTCTATGGGGTCGCAAACAATCAGACACAACTGAGCAACTTTCACACTTTCCGTGATTGGAGAGACTCAGTTCTGAGATCTGAATTCCAAATACAATTCGTGTAAGTCTATGTTAATGATCCACATAGTCATTAAAAGGACATGTTTGCTACAAATAAGTAGTCCATCATGTTGACCTTGGAGCTCACCTCTACCTTAGCGCACCAAGGGAGCGTAGGTTGTTGAGCATATTCCCTGATGATTGTAGCACTGATACTTAGAGTAGGGACGTAAGTGAAAGATTACTGTGCTGGAATTAATTATTTGGGTTCAGTTTTGGTTCCTCTAATTGTGACCATACACAAGTCACTTAATTTCATTACCCTCAGTTTGTTTGAGCTTAAAGTAGAAACAATAATTTTCCTGCCTTTTGAGCTACCGTAAAGGTATTATGCATGTGAGAGCTCTGCATAAAAGGTAAAGTACTACTTAATGCTTTCTTTAAAAAATCACCATCATCACCTTAGCCTCCTCCTCCCAGAGACACTGAGTTTATTTGCTCTGTCTCCAATCTCTGAGTAATAACTGTCAACATGTTTCCTTCCTCGTTGGAATTCAAATGCCAAAGCAATGTGATACCCCTTGGGTTTCCCTTGAACTTCCTCCATAGCATGAATTTTTTCTTTCATTCCTTAAAGATTTTTTAAAGAAAATCTCTCACTAAACCACTCTATCTACTGCCAAACAAACCAAGAAAGGACTTCATCTCTTCTAGGAATTTCTCAAGTTTGCTTTACTGAAGTTTCATAAATGTTGTGGGGCAGAAAAACAAGGGTTAAGGGTATCTTTAAAAACAAGAGAATTAGAGAAAAAGCAAAGCTAACACAAACCATCCTCTCGTGGAACAAAGCAGAACTCCTCTGTGCCCTCTCCCAAGAGAAAAAGCAAAAAAAGGCATGGGATGGCACAGAAAGACAGAGGGCACAGGAGGATAAGCCTGGGGTGAATGTGGGCATGGAAGGCAAGCAATAGGGAAAATTCAAAGATAACATGGGAGCAGTGCTTCTCAAGCTGTGATCCCCACAACAGCAACATGTACATTCTTGAGTCCATCCCAGACCTGAATGGGAACCCAGTGACCTATGTCTTAACAAGCCCTGATTCACGCTGAGTTGGGAATCACTTCCCTAGATGGCCTGGGTGATTAGGAGGAGGAAGGCTTCAGGTTGTTTTTGTTATATAACATTGTTCCCCAAAATTCCACTCACGAGAACCTATGTGTTTAAAAAAGTAAATCAGAGTACTGAACAACAGCTTGATTTTATAATGATAAACTATGTTAATGGAAGCAAATATCTTGCATATTCAAGGTTCCATGGCAAATGTACTCCTTTGGGCACTTAACATTATAACAATAACTTAACTTATAGCAATAACTTAACGTATAACAATGACTTATTATAATTGTGCTGTGCTTAGTCACTCAGTCATGTGTGACTCTTTGCAACCCTGTGGACTGTAACCCACCAGGCTCCTCTGTCTGTGAGGATTCTCCTGGCAAGAATACTGGAGTGGATTGCCATGCCTTCCTCCAGGGGATCTTCCCAA